GTGTTCCAGGCAGTCTATCCTCCAACTTCTTTGGGTCAGAGGTGTTGCCTTGGAACTTCTCCATTTGATTGGATGAAATATCCGCCTGTCCATGATCCTCTTCTCCATGCGCAGCGTCCATGAAACACTACTCAGGGAGGAAAAGGCTTGTGCATTGTCAGCCTCCACACCATAATCAATGGTATGCCAATTCTGATCAGCATGTGCATTGTAAGGTGTGTCAAAATACCACTCATGACCAACATATGGATGCCAGCCTTGAAATTGATCCAAATCATGCAGTACGTCACGGTGCAAATCATGACCGCTGCTCTCACAACTGCTCCACGCATGCTCTACTGTTTCCCCACAAGAGGGCATGCTGCTTGGCAGAAACCACACATTCAAACACTCCCGCTGGTTTGACCTTCGAAACCCACTGTATTTGCCATGCATTGCTTCTGCAGAAACCGAAGACAGCACCGACCCCAAATCTAAATGCTGCTCAAGTCTGCTGCTTTTCTCTGCTCCCTCAAGGATTGGCCCGGGCCACCTGGCAGGGTTACCCTGACAACTGACTGTCTCCCTTCTTGCGGCGCTTCAGCATGTTCTCAGCCAATTGCCGCTCTAACTCAGTCTTCTGGGAGTCTGTGTGCAAAATGCCAACTTGAGCTAAAGCCTTCATCACGTGTTCATTCACGTCATCATCAACCAAAGTCTCCGGCACCTCCGCCTCCTTGGTTTCCTCTTTCAACAACTTGGCATATGCCGCGGATTGAGCTGTCAACTGTTGCTGTTCCTTGTCTATCATCTCCTGAACCACCTTCAGCTCGTCCAGGAGTGTTTTGTGTTGCTCCTTTGCATTGTCCACCCTTTTCTGTAGCCCAGCCTTCTTGTTTGACAACTGTCGAAGTTCCCCGACTGTGGTCTTCAGCTGTGTGGTGACGTCCTTTGGTTCCTGCTTCACAGGAGCAATCAGAGACTCAACCGCATCTTTGACTTGCTTCGATGTCGTGTGTCTTCAGGATCTCTTCAAGGGGCTGGAGCTCCGGTTCCGGGGTATAATCTATTCCCACAACCTTCAGAGCATCTTGGACCTCTTTGCTCAAGCTTGTCCATCCTTTTTGAAGGGCCCTCTCAACCCCTGAGGAGCATGCTCTGTGGCCCAACCCAGGCGGCTTGTCAACAAGGACAGTCCGATCTCTTCGAGGTCGACCTCTCCTTGGGGGCGTGGTGGACTTCTCCTGGTGCCAAGACTTCTGTGGCCATGCCAAATTGCATTTGTCACATTTCCATCGATCAGCACTGATCCTATCAGCCCAAATCCATGATGTTGAGCAGCCCTGACAGCAAAGGTAGGTCCTCTGCCTACGCCACTTAGGGTACATCCACCCTTCCCATGTAGGTGCCACCATCTCGCTCGTCAAAGACAAAGGTCTCGTCAATCTCTATCACGGGCAAGGGTGAGGGTGACCTTCACAATCTCCACCCTATAGGGTTCTCCCTGTGCTTTGGGTCCGCGAAGGGACAAGAGTAGTGCCACCAAACGGCACAGTCCCAGCTTGAGCCCAAAACTTGAGCCACTCTCTCTCTCTCTCTCT